ATTAACAAAACAATGCTTAAAATCTGATTGTGTCTCTTTCAAGCCATCCAAAGATATGTATAAACACATGAACAGTTCAATTTATGGCTCAGATTTAGAGTCAGATTATGATTAAATTTTTGCATTTTAAAGGAAAATTTACAAAAAACAGGAAAATTTTAGAGATTTTCTGGGGAAATTTGACATTGGGTCTGGGGATTTTTAGGGAAATTTTGTTGCCCACTTAGGGAATTTGATGTGCAGGCACTGATGATATCTTCAAAGCTGTCCAAAGCTGGCAATCATACTTTTGTGAGAGCTTCAGCCATTGCTGCTTAGATATCGTACAGTGATGATGATTTTACTTTTGATAACTACCTGTTTTCCCTGAAAATCAGTAGCTTCCTCATTTAGTTGCAATAATTCACAAAGATCACTCATCAGCTTCATATGATAGGGATGTAGCTTAATTGAATCATGTCACTTCTAAAGAAAGTCATGTGGAAACTGCAGCATTGGTCTAACCAACTTTAGTTAGCTGTTCCATAGTGATGGGTGAAGCTTTCTATAGCTTTCAAGCAATTGGTTGTGTTACGAGAGATTCTCATGTGAAGCAAGTTTAGAAGCCTTAGTAGCTACTGTTTGTAGAGGTCTATAGCTTCTTTCAGACCATCTTTTATAACAGGCTGAATAACGTGTAGTCCCGATTCTTCTGCTGGTTCTTTAATAGGATAGCAAGAGCGCCCTGGATCTGTCCATTCACTAGTTTTAGTTCAATCAATTCTTAATAATAATAATTCAAAACTAGTGCGCATGTGTGCATACTAGTGTTGTTGTAGTACCATAATTTTATATAGTTCTAGTACTAGTTCTAGAACTAGAGTTTGATGACATTTAGTTCTAGTTCTAGTTCCGGAACTAGAGTTTGATGAAGTTTAGTTCTAGTACTAGTTCTGGAACTATAGTTTGATAAAGTTAGTTCTAGTACTAGTTCTAGAACTAGATTTCAATAAATTTTAGCTATTGTTCTGGTTCTAGAGCTAAGTTATAGTTCTTGTACTTGTTCTGGCAATGGAGTTTAAGAAGCTTAGTTCTAATTGGAAATAATTTCTAAATACTGCTTCTTTTTGCTTCTGCTGTCATGCTTTAACTGCTAGCTTCGAACTGAACAAGTATTCAAAGTCTATTGATATACTTATGCATTATAAAACATGTCTAAGTAACAAATTCATACATTATTTGTTATTCAGTCTTTGTTAAATACTAAAATATTTCACTGACAAATTAGTACCTTCTTTGTCAAGTTATATTGTTCTACAATTCTAGTTCCAAACTAGATCTAATACCACAAGAGAATATACTTTTAGTTCCAATTTAGTTCTAGTACTGAGACTCTGGTAAAGTTTAGTTCCCGTTTAGTTCTAGTACTACAAGTCTCGTATAAGCTAGTTCTAGTTTAGTTCTGGTTCTTACATTGGTTGTAAAAATAGTACTAGTTCTTGTTCTTGGAACTAGAACTATGAAAAAAAAGGCAATACTAGAATTGATTTAGTTCTAGTACCAAGGAACTACAACAACACTAGTGCATACATAATGAGAACAATAATTTAACAAATAATAAGCAATAATGATCACAGTAGACTCTCAATTCCTCACACTCTCCCTCCATTGACAAGAAGTGTTTCAAGACTTGTCAATCCACGATGATGTCTACAATATACATAATGTCACACTCAAATACAAATTATTAAGTAATATACACATAGCACATGAATCAAATAATTAATGTACATGCATACATATTACACAAATCAATAAGTAATGTACACACATCAATAATATTCCCAATTAAACTATCTTATTAACCCACCGAATTAATTACTCACTACTTGAGTTTATTCAGTCATCAAGTGTTTGAGCCATGATACAATCACGAGCTTCAAATGTTGCTGCCCTTCTGGGTCTCGCAGTTTCCTTGTGACCTTGACCTTGTGGCTGATCTTGTGAGCTCTCCTCTTCTTGGTGGTTAATTTCCCATGGGTGCAAATGTTGAACTGGACGGTTCAACAATGTTGATTTTCTCCCTCCAGTAGCAACTCTAACTGTTGCTCCTCTAATCAATCCATCTCTTTCTGGTATGATAGACTCCACCTTACCCAAATTCCAGAATCCACGACGTTTCTCATTGCTCTTTACAATGACAATATCTCCAACCTTTATTTCAACTTCAGCGTTGTCTCCCTTAGAGTATCGGTGCTGTTCCTTGAGCTCAAGTAGGTACTCAGAACACCATCTTTTCCAGAAGTGTTCTATTCTGTTATTGAGGTACCTCAGTCACTTGATCATCATGTCTGGTCTTGCAATGAATTCTGGATCCTCATCATCATAATTGTGTCTGGAAAGGTTATCAGTCATCTACCATTGAATAAATGCGATGGAGTAAGTGGTTCCTCAATGTCATTGGGAGATAAATATGACAAAGGTCTCGAATTGATTACAGCTTCTATAGCTGTATGTAACTCATCTAATGTCAACCGTGCTTGTCCCATAGACTTTCTCAAGCACCTCTTAACTGACTTCACCATTCGCTCAAAGACTCCTCCCCACCAGGGAGCTCTTTCAATGTTGAACAGCCACTCGGTCCTGGATTCATTAACGTAATCAATCGCCTCAGGATGGTTCATGATCTTCTTGATCTTCTTAGCTGTAGCCTTGAATGTCTTTCCATTATCCGAAATGAACTTGTGTG